GATCGAAAGGTTTCCAGACTGCGCCTATAAAAACCCGTACACTTATCTCAGGTATTAAATTCATCCATCACCCTCGAAGTAGTTCCCCTGGGAGTGAACACAACGATCCCAGCGCCGCTGCCAAGCAATGGAAGCATCCCTGGAAATCTTTCTTTGTCAGCCTGTCAAGCACCATCTGCGATTCTGCCTGAATCTCTTCTATCGTCTCAAATCTCCTTCCCTTTAGCTGAATTGTCATCTGTGGGAAGAGGAAGAAGTCACACGGAGCTAAATCCGACGAATAAGGAGGGTGCGGGATGACGGCCATAGTGTTTGAGGCCAAAAACTGCCGAACTTTGAGGGCGGTGTGCGCTGGCGCGTTGTCATGATGCGTCGCATGGGGAGTTCTTCGTTTAGAATCAGCTGACAGGTCCCATAGCCTACCCCAACAATGTCGCACAAGTCGTTGATGGTACGACGTCGATCTTCGTGAATGGCCTGCCGAATCTTCGTAACATTTTCGGGCGTTGTGCTCGAAGATGGTCGTCCAGAACGCTCGTCATCATGGACAGAGGTTCGGCCATTTTTAAAACATGAATGCCACATAAAAGTTTGTGAACTACCCATTGCGGACTCCCCAAATGCTTGCTTTAGCATTTCATAGGTTTCCGTAGCCGTTTTGGCGAGTCTTTGGCAAAATTTGATGCACACGCCATTCCGAAATCGCAGGAGGGTCGGTGTAATGCACTACCAAAACGCCCGTAACTAAGAAACAAATGCTAATTCGATGATGGCGGCTGGCACACTGATTCACTATGAATGTAGGCCGCACCCCCTAGCGGCAGAAGCTCGTACAACATCCGGTTCGCTCTCTATTGACGCAGTCTGGAAAGACGTGCTCTGATTCCGTGACTTTTATGGATTATCTCGGAAGTGCAGGTCTTCAATTATAATTGAGAAAACATTTGTTCCTTCACGATACTTAACTTAATTCCGCTTTTAACGAAGATTAATCTTACTCTACAATTCATAACCACACTTTTACTCACTGTCGGACGCTGTTAAAACAGCCATTTTGCCTGTAAATCCTTAAGCCCTAAGTTTCAAACACGGGTTTTCCAATCAGCTTTTAAACAAATTTAAGGAATCTAAATCTATCGATACAGTACAGTATCACAACCAACTCCACAGACCAGAGCAGACTTCGATAACCTAACTTTGTTTAATAAAACTCAAAAATTCTTTATCGTGTTCATAATTTCCCAACACCAGTCATTACCCTAAGCCAGATTAATCCAATCAAAACCCTCAAGCATACTTCCATAAGATCAATTCTAGTATTATCCTACCATCTACACCTAAGTCTTCCGAATGATGTCTTCCATCTTGGTTTTCCAATCACAAATTTCCAAGTATTTCTAACCTTTTCAATTCCTTCTACAGGCCTCACCCATCTCCAGCCTTCTCGAACTGACCATCTCAATACTTCGCGAAAAGTACAAAATTATGGAGTCCTTCATTTTGCAAAATCATCATCCATCTTAGGACCAAATATTTCCCTAAGCATCCTGTACTCCATCATACCCAATCCATGTTCTACCCTCAAGGCCAGATAACAAGATACCAGATAAAATAACTTTATGCCGTATAAATGCTTATGTTTTTAAAGAGGAGGGAACCGCGGTATTAATTAATTTAAACCTTCATATGCAAAACCTTATGATCAATAACAGAGCAGTTATAATGCACTGCATTTGACAGTTTTAATTAACTTACAGACATGAACTGCAACGGCAAACACTCCCCGAATTTAGTCTGCCCTTAATTTCCTCGTGGAAACTATTCAACTTTTTTAACGTCCTTTCCAATTATCTGAACTTGCCACACATTCAAATGATTTATTAGCTCCTCTTTATAATGAGTTCGTCCTGTAGAATGGTGACGAGACAAGGGCACGATACTTGGTTAGATTTCTCTGCTTCTACACCAACTTCCTTTCTAACAACTAACAGAGATTCTTGGTTTTTATTTATATTTTCGCCCAATACATTATCATTTCGACGTGGTGAAGACAGCAACTGAAAATATGTATGAAGTTTAGCAGCCACATCAGTTGGTTTCGACGACTTAGAGAGAAGCATCTGAAGATGATGAAGAATTAAGGTCGAAACATGTGGAATTTTGATAAACATTGCGGCTGTTATAAAAAATGTGTAGACGGTCTGTGAACTTAACGAGAAAAATTGGCCTAATTGTTCTTTACCTCAGCTACTTTTATTATTTGTAATAAAAAGTATAGCCACGGTGGTCTAGCGGTTAGAACGCTGGCCTTGTAATCCTGGGGTGTCGGGTTCGAATTTATAACTTGTGTTGGGCAAGTCCGTGGTCTAGGCAACACGGAGTTTACCTCCGTGGCATCCAAACATTTACTCCATTCACACACAGAAGAAGGCAATGGCAAACCACTTCTGGATCATCTGCCAAGAACGTATATGAACAGGCCCCAGTCCGAGAAAAGGATGGAAGGATCCTGTTCATATGGACCTGTCGTCAGACAGAACACTAAATAATAGTAACATTATCATCAGCGCAGACCAGAAGCTGTAGTGTGGCATTCAATTCCACCCCCCACCCCCCTCGGTTTCTTGGACCCTGCTTATGGCGTATTCTAAAGTAATGTTTAAAATCAACAGTGATAAAACATTTCCTTGCCTGAGACTACTCCGCATACAACAGACATCAAAAAGAATTTACGTGCACGGATTTTGTTATAGGCTTCGTCCAAACACATTTCAATTAGCCTAACTAATTTAATTGGTATACCTAATTCAATAAGACTCTACAATACGTCCCTCGTAAATGAATCACGGACTTAGTAAATAGATAGCTGATGTACTATAACATTATAAAGTAAAGTTGTCCCACTATACGTCATGTAGGCGCTTGGGGGAGTGGATTATAGCTCCTACTCATTCTTAACCTCGGCACTAGATGGGGGTGGGTGGTCAGCGTCACGCCCCGGCCGTCTTTTACTCCCGGGACAGGACCCTGGTACTCAGTGGGTGATAGAGGCTGGAAGAAAAATCCTTTGTCCCCGTCGGGGATCGAACCCTGGTCGTCCAGTCCGTAGCCAGTCACTATACTGACTGAGATACACTCCCATTTTTTGTTTTAAGAATCTGAGGAATGCGTAATATCTGACCAGTAATTGAGACAAAATTCACACTGGTGATCCCCAGTACTTTCGTTAATGTCCATTTTACACTGCCTACGTCACTCTAAAGCAGTGGTGTTCAACCTGGGGTACGCGTACCCCCGGGGGTACGCGAAGACATCTTTCAGGGTACGTGAAATTTAAAAAAGTTTTATGATAAACATTGAATAATCAGTGATGTAATTTATTTAATTTATTTTAGATGTAGATTATATACTATGTATAACTTGAATTATACACCAACAACTCTGGGGGTACAAAGTTGAAGAGAAATTATATCTGGGGGTACGCGAACAAAAAAAGTTTGAATTCCACTGCTCTAAAGAATGCGTCAAAGTCAGTGATCCTGTATAATATTTAGTATCACGTTAGTTTTTTACGGTGGACGTTGAAATGATTCTCTTTATAATGATTTTGTCCTGTAGAATGGTGACGCTTCCTGATGGGATGTTATCGTAAACTAATCAAAACTATTTAGTCAGAGATACTGGACTGCATATTTCATTATTTATTCATGCCACAGACTATCTACCACTCGCAAGCACTTTTACTTTTATTATTTTAGGATTGTCTGTCCTTCCCTTTGTTCGGAGAAAGACGCATTACAAAATACTTTTTTTAAAGGATGTTTCGACAACTGAAGGCTTCTGCAGTTAATAACAGAAGCATGGTTATAATGCGAACTTGTGATTGTAACGGAAACACGCGCTGATAAGTTTTAAATGTCAACTGTTATTGGCCTTTCGGGTAATTTCACAAACATGACAACCGTAGTAAACACTTTTATGTGACATTAATTCACAGACAAATTGAAAGCGATCCGTAATATATTACAAACTAATTGTAATACGAGGTATTTTGTTGAGCAAAAGACGGCAGGAGTATTTTAATACCTGATAAAATAGTTCATGGACATTTTGTCTAGAACCACAGACACTATAAAACATTCTCCTTGGTGCCTTGTCTCTTATTACACATTTCCACAAAGGGTTGAAGTAGCAGACAGACTGTAACGACCCGGTCTCGAGGTCGTCCAGTCGGGGGAGTTCATACCCGCGACCAGATAGAACTCCTCAACCAAGGAAATACAGCAAAAGTCCCCAGCGCCTGCCAGTTCCTTGGCAACGTTGAACGACCACGATCACACCATGTTCAACCACGTCAAACGTGGCGGTCGCCTAGGGCAGGGGTCGACAAACTACGGCCCGCCGCCTCTTTTTGTACGGCCCGCGAGCTAAGAACGGATTTTACATATTTAAATTTTTTGAAATTTCAAGAGAAGAATCTAACAGAATTCTATAAATGTTTCCCAAGCGATGAATACGGTCAATTAAGATCATATGCTCGGGGATTTATATCTGTGTGAAAAGACATTTTCGAAGATGAAATATGTAAAATCTCAATACAGGTCAGCATTAATAATTTACAATCAATTTTGATGACAGGGAGTACTGAATTTAAACCTCAGTTTGCTGAAATGTTATCTCATAAACAGGCAATTCCATTCTTCTCATTAGTATAGAGCTGTATTTCAAACAATTGTAGTCTACTTATTATAATTACGTTACATTTTGCTCAATAAACTTGTTAAAACTTGGTTTTTTTTTGTTACATAAGTCGGCTTACCTATATAAATATCCTCGAGTTTGCCTCTTCGCCCGCAGAGCCTAAAATATTTACTATTTGGCCCTTTAGAAAAAAAAAATTGCCGACCCCTGGCCTAGGGCGTCAAAATTTGAACACGAAATAAGGGCAGAAAGTATAGCCACATCAGATTTAGTTCTGCCATAATTTGAAAGGTACTTACATGCGCTATTCCGTTTACGCCATACCCGGAATTGACGAAACCCTGAAAACAAAAGAGAAACAATTACCTCAATATAAATCTCATTGGCAAGGCATGTAGCCCGCATGGGAGAAAATATCAATGCATACAGAGTTTTGGTGGACAACCCAGACGGAAAGAGACCACCGGGAAGACCTAGACGTATGTGAGAGGATGATATTAAAATTAATCTTAGAGAAACAGGATTCATCTGTCTCAGGACAGGACCAGTGGTCCCATACATTTTGTAAATTTCTTCAGTGGCTGAGCGACCATCAGCTTCTCAGGAAGGACTCAGCTCCAAGGAGTACGTAAATAACATGTATCTGCAAGACAGAGCCGAGGAAGGTAAACAAATGGCCAATTTCCCTTGATTGCTTGATGATCTTTAATCCATTTCAATCGCAAGTGTCCTGAAGATAAAGGCAGTATGCTCCTTCGAAATTCCAGAAACCATTCTGCGAGTATACGGAGTCAAAACTAAGTACAGAACCCAAAAGAAAATTGCGAGCATAGTATCGAATGAGATGCGATATATTACGAACAATGTTCACGCAAGAACTATAAGATACCAGCCAGCGTCTCCTTGCTCAGGCCGAGAAAAAAACATTCATATTAAATTCCTGTACCAGTAATAGTGCATTCCCGGCTTAAGATTCGAACCTCTGCGTCCCGAATACACTCCCATTGCCTCACGAAGGTCACTTCACGGTTCAAGTGATGTAGTACCAAGGCCAAGGACGAGTGTGGTTCGATTCGCGTTCCTTTCTGTCCGGAGAGAAAACGTCGAACACACGCACTGAATCTGGTTGCGAGCGTGTGCATTAGCCCTTGAAAACCCTTCTATAACGTCAACTATCCCGTATTTTCCAGTCTCTAGTCTCGACAACACGGAGTTTTCCTCCGGGGCCTTCCCCGGTTTCTCCGTGGCATCCCAACAATTACTCCATTCACACACAGAAGAAGGCAATGGCAAACCACTTCTGGATCATCTGCCAAGAACGTATATGAACAGGGCCCAGTCCGAGAAAAGGATGGAAGGATCCTGTTCATATGGACCTGTCATCAGACAGAACACTAAATAAATAAAAAATAAGACGTTGTATTTATGTGAGTGGGCTTCCCCGGTTTCTCTGTGGCATCCCAACAATTACTCCATTTACACACAGAAGAAGGCAATGGCAAATCACTTCTGGATCATCTGCCAAGAACGTATATGAACAGGTCCCAGTCCGAGAAAAGGATGGAAGGATCCTGTTCATATGGACCTGTCGTCAGACAGAACACTAAATAAAAATATAAATAAATAGTCTCGACTACAAAACTGAAGCTATAAAGCCAACACGGTAGTTAAAATATCGTTAAATAAACCAAGAAACACCAGTAGATCACACACAGATCAATCTTATACGAAGCCATCGTCATTTCTCAAAAGATCTCGATGTTTAACGCACATTTATCTAATACATGCCACCATGACAGGGTGTCGGATCTATCAGAATGAATTCTGCGCTTGTAGGCCTTGGTTTGGACCAATGCGCTACCAAGCTCGTTATTGCGGTAAAGCAGTTTATATCAGAGTGCTTAAGGTACACGGTTATCCGCGTATGGAAACTAGACCACGTTGCATTCCATCCGTCAAATGTTAACTAGTGAAGAAAGCGTTGAGTCCTGTCAAAACATGCAGCACGAAAAAAGTGTCAAGACCTCTTTAGAACCCAACTGTCGCTCATCTAGCCAATAGGGACTAGGAAAGTTCGCCCGCCATGTTCCCTGTGATGACAACGTTTCGGAAAAAGTTTCCATCTTCAGGGCCAAAGTGACTTAAGACTTCAGTCCTGAAGATGGAGGCATCATGTTTCTCCGAAACTTTGGCTTCTATCGAGGAAAATACATGGCGCCAAGACCCAGATCATCATCATCATCATCATCACCAGAGTAAACCTTAATCTCACCTCCAAAATCAGTCGGACGGACACTGATCACTACAGATCAAGAGTTACTTATATTCTTGTAATTTAAATGGCAAAGTAATTTTTATTGCCTAGAAAACTGCCGGTACATTTTACTGTGAGTTCATATTATAAACAATAAACAAGTTACCACCAACAGAACACTTAACGTTATCTCGTGTTCGCGAAAACTGAGCTAGGCCGGAACCAAATCCGACCACTTCTACGTGACAGTTCACAGCAGTCGTTGATACTAAACGATATTACTCATAGCACTTCAGTTACGGACTGGACGACCGGGGTTCGATCCCCGACGGGGGCAGTTTTTTTTCCTCTAGCCTCTTAGTCCAGATGGGCTCTGGGGTCCACCCAGCCTCCTATCCAATGGGTACCGGGGTCCATTCCAAGGGGTAAAACGCCCGGGGCGTAAGATTGACCACTCACCCCCATCTAGTGCCGAGCTCAAGAATGAGTAGGAGCTATACCTGCTCTCCTCCAAGCGCATACATGGCGTGCAGCGGGAAACACTTATACAAGACTGACATAGCAGCTCGTCTGCGACAACAGGCAGATTCTTATATGGAGTAAAATGGAACCCCAAGAAACGTATTTAATGACGAATTTTCCGATACGCCTTCGAAATATAATGACAGTGGCGTTACATCCAACATCGTTTACTTACCGCACACGGCGAACACAAATGTGCACAATGTTAATCGACAAAACTTCGAAGGAAAGGAAACGCTTAAAACACTAGATGTAGAGGGATCGATAATATTAAAATTAATTTTAAAAATAAATCGGGCTTTTAAGTGTATAACGGATTCATCTGGCTTCAGTTCGGGTTCTTGTTAACACGGAAATGAACACAAGTTTCATAAAACGCGTCAAATTTTCTTGGCCAGCGAAGAAACTATCAGCTTTTTATAGGAGATCTTGTAGTATGTTTGGTATTTTACCACTGGTGTAAGCCGTAAAGAAAGCATTAATTGTCTACATGTCTAAATCTTTACGAATTTATAAATACTCAGCAAAACATTTTATAATTACGTCTAACAGTAACAAATAGGCTATTTCTTTTTCGTATTCATCCGCAACACTGTTCGTGATATTTCCGTTGATTCAGATGATAAACTACTAACGTTCTCTGCCCCCTGCCTCAATACTTAAGAATCTTAACCAACTCCATACAGCAGAACCTTTCGTGATAAACTAAATACTCGCTCAGTTAACCAGTTAACCCGTCGTTTACGAAACCCAAAGGTTCATTACTACTTCGTTCACAAGAGACCGCCACTGGTTGCCGTTCTGAACCAAATGAATACAATCCACACTAATTCATATTATCTGCCGTCCACTTTAATATCATCCTCCCATTTACGCGTAGTCATAAAAGCGGTCTCTTCCTCACTTTAATATCATCCTCCCATTTACGCCTAGTGGTCTCTTCCCCCCAGGTTTTATGACAAAACTTCGCATTTCTCATCTCCACTTCGTGTGGATGCATACATTCAAGAATAAATAAGGCATCCGAAGGTTATTTCCAGTAAGCCGTTTTACATATCGTATCGACATGTAAGCCAAATTAAGTTCATTCGTTAAATAAAAAGTTCAACGAAAGGTCAACTCAGCTACAGTTCTTCGCCTCGTTTGTTAAGGTACGGCAGACTCCAAGAAACTGTTTTCCAACTTCTTCCATAAAACTCTTGAGAACTACGACAAAAAAAGAAAGGTGGAAGGTACAGTCACATTCAGAAGTAGACCACTTCTCTGAAACGTTCGCATGCCCAACATTCTCCATAACAAAATGGGGCAATTAGTTGTCCACAGCCTGTAAAATGACGACGTATAAAGCAGCTCAAGATGAACTTGTCAGTTCTTAAAACCATTCAATGAACAAAAGTTTGAAGACAGATTACGTGTCCTGTCCAAAAACGAGTGGTTGCAGGCCTGATACTGAATTTACAAATTACTAACCACTTCGTGTAATTCTCTTCCCTTCCTGAACTCTTAGAATTATCAAACGGGCCTTTAAACAAAAGAATTCAGCTACCGCGGGAATATAATAAACCGCGTAGCTCAATCAGTTTCTTCTAACCTCTGGCTCTGAGGCGACACAATTACAAACGAGGATTCCCTTCCCGGTTCGTAAAACGCGGTCGAGGCAGACGCTAGGCACTCACCATCTCCTCCCCTGAGACCAAAAGCAAGCAGGAGCTCTCCCTTCCCCTCCTGCTCCTCCCCCCTCCTCAAAAAAAGAAAACGATGCCTTGGCGATTGTTAGGACATCTACACGGGGACATAACAACCAAGAAATTCATGCATGACGCTGTGCAGTGAAGTATTGTGGGTCACAGCCCAGAAACCCAATGGCAACCGCTGAAAGAACCTGAGATATATATAAATTTCCATCTGCTAACTTCTTCGTCACGAGAGTTCTCCATTTTTAGTTCACGGGATCACCGACGAAGCGCCAGGTAATCAGTCGCTGACACTTGAATGACCGTAATCCATACTCCAGACGTATATTTTAAAACACAAACGTTGGTAACACTTGCTGCCAACGAAACTTCCTTAAAACTAGCTAAAATTTCCCAACTTACTGAAGGAGCATATATGCCCACAGTCAGAACGTTTGCTGCTATTAGGGTCTGATTTTCAGGTTTGCACCTCCAAACCCTTCTTTTTCATGGCTTCCATACCTCCCGTGTTTTCATGCTGTCATCTCCCGCCCCCACCCCCCTCGCTCATCTCTACACGCTGTTCCCCTGCTGATAACTCCCGCGCTGTTGCCAAGTCTACTCATGGTATTGATCCGGTTCGGAGGGTCATATGACCGCAGCGCGACCTACGCTGTTGGAGCGCAAACAATACCCGGCTATTTCATTCATTTCTTGCGTTTCCTAGCGTCTGGTTTTACGGTCCACCGGGAGTCTAACACAGACGTTGAAGAACACAGCGGATCTAAATTATTAATTATTATGTGAGATTTTATTATTATTAAAATGTCTCCCTTTTACGTTCTTGGGGTTTTCCCACACGTCACCTTTCACATACTCTTCACTTGATCAA